CGAGGATTTAGCACTGAAACAGATGGTCTCTTCAAGTTGGATAAAGTTCGAGAGTTTTCTAGTTTAAGTTTTGATGTTTTTGAACGATTACCAAGCGTTATAATTTTTTTTGTCAAAGTATGATTTGAGGTTAGTGAATTTCTTATGATAAAATCTGTGTATGTAAGTAACTCAAATAAATCGGTCGAGTATTACTTCAAAAATTGTGATTTTGAAAAAAATGTAGTTTCGAGAAAAATGCCATGAAAGTTTCGGGTTGTGTCAGTCGCCACAACTGATTTAGGTGTCGTGTCACTACAATGGCTATATATGCATATCTCCAGAAATAATTAAAATCTTGACAAATCCTTTTAAGCACATATTCTTGAAAGATTAAGCTTAAACAAAAAAATCAAATGCCTACACTAGAATTACCCCTTATAATAAAATTCCAATTATTTATTGTACAAGAAGCAAGTCAACTGTCAGCAAATATTTTCTTCAAATCTATTGCTTATCGGTTCAGCAATAGTTCGAGTTTTTACCTAAAGTTTTGAAGTGGTTTGCCCTGTAGTTCACTAACTGTAAGCAGTATAAACTTTTATAATCTAGAATTATTCAACTCTAACCAGTGTTCATACCCCAATGACAATGAAAGCTCAAGCCAACAAACTCAATTTCCTAAGTCTTTCAGATTTTTGCTAGATTTATAATGGTTCCCCCTAGATTTTTTTTGCCATAAAAATATCAGTATACAAAATTACTTTATGTTAGCACGGCAATTCAATATAGCCTACTGCTATGTTTTGGTCTAATTAAACAGTCCATCAGTTCTAAGGTGCAGCAAACTTCTGGTTTCTCTATACATGAATATTGTGAATGGTTGGATCTTAAGCTAGACTATCTCAAGAAAAAGTTTTGTTCTGATACTCAAAATTAGTTAATTTAAGTTGCCGCTACGAAATTAAAATTTCTCTATAGAAGCGAAGACCAACTTGTGCACCAGTTGGTTTCCAAATCGCCTAAGAAATTTCAAATTAATTAAATTTTAATTGTTTTTCCTCAAATTGCATTGCATCAACACCTACTTGACAGTTTTACAAACTTTGTGTCACAAAACCTTAAAAGCAGTAGAGCCTCTATGTATATACATATGTCCACAGAGCAAGCAGTTCACAGTTTACATTAAAAAATGAAATATGACATTTGCTTACTGGAATGCGAGTGTTTATGAGAATATGAGAATTAAACGTGGTTTGTTTCTATTACGCATTGCGAGCAATTAGTCCGTCTGTTTGCGGCTTGTCGCTTTTAAGCCAACTCTAGAACGCACTTGCTAAGCCCAGCGCTGAGCGCGTGTCAACGACATATTAACCCAATTCTTGTTAGAAGCAAAGAAACCAAAGTGCATAAACAAAGCGCGTTCATTGTTTTATATTTCATTTCTTGTTTATTTTTTTAAATTCTTTTTTTTTGCGCGCTTGCCTTTGAGTACTACTTGTGTGCGGCACTTGAAATCTGGCTTAAGTATATAAACTGTGCTTCGAAAATTTCCTCACTCATTTTCACTTGGTTCCAATTAGAATGCCATTACATTCACTCGGCAGGAAAGCTGCGATTGCGCAGCACTTCAACTGTCTTGTCTGTCTGACGAAAATGTGAAATTAATTTTATGCTTTGCTTTTAACGCCAACGGATGACTGGCGTTCATACCGAGTACGCTTATCTGCAGCTTTGTCATTGAGCGTTGGCCAAGCAATAAGTGAATTCATTGTGAGCTCATTTAAGGTTGTGATTCTTATGGTACTTTCGCTCAAAATTGAATTTGGATGACACTGGTCAACATAAATGGAAATTTTCAGTTAAATTTTTGGTTAATAAACTGAAACTTTAACCAGTATTATATATCAAATAATTTGAGAAAATTCGCGAGCCATGCGAATTAAAAGATAGTACTTGCGGACGATGTTCCAAATGTTCTTAGGTTTATTCTAAGCGCCCTAAAGACATAGTGATCTTAAACTTGCCGAGATTTCAAACATTTTGGAGTCACAATGATACCAAGTCCCTTTTTCGTTAGTGCATAAGTTGCCCAGACTGATCAGCTCCTTTAATGGTGTTTCTAAGTACCTCAGGTCTTAAGCGTATTAAAATTAAATTACTTTATGGCAGTGTGGATAGTGAACAGACAAAGAAGTCTACAACTTTAAGGACCGACAGATTGATTAATTTAGTATATATAGATTGACATAATCTTCTAAACTTCAGAATCTTGGTAAGGCAGAAACGGCGAAGTGCAAAGCATGCGCAGCAGACATTTGAGCCTTACTTTTTGCGAATGCCAAGCCTACAGTCGGTAGAGACTGGATATCTTCCCACGGTTGTCACTGCTCCCATCTAAAAGAAATTTGAAAATTAAGCTAGACAAGTTTTAGCAATTTTATAAATTCAGGTAATTGCTGATTGGTGCTGCATTGGAACTCACTTGTAGTATAATGTGTGTAATGATATCTTCCTTGCGGTCAGGATTCGTTTGACCTTCACTTCCAAATACACAATTAGCCCACCAGATCTTCATGTTTTTTGACTTGCTGATTCATTGGAATCTCAATTCTTTGATTAGATATGGATGCTGCTATCTATTAAAAGTTCATAGTATATCAGTTTATAGTCTAAATAATTAGCTAAACAAACTAATAATGCTATAAAGAAACATATAAACTTGCATTTTGTTGACCAATGTACACTTTGCTGGTGTAAAAATATTTTGCTTGTTCACTTTGTACCGTAAATGTATTTAATTCAGTGCTTTTATTAACAATTTTGCTGACTTTTATACGCTTTGTTTTTGTTAATGTACTTTAATGTATTATATTTTTCTATTACTTTTTACTTTTGTAATTCACATCATCTATGTAATGATGGCAACTTTCAAGATTTGCAGTTCGCCCTCCTTTCACCGAAATAAGTTAAAGGAAAAACAGCACAAAAATACAATATCATAGCACCTGTAGATGATTTAACGAGCATTAGTGGCGCATATGTATCTTATTCATACGTAGATATTTATATGTATAGGTATTAATATGAATATACTATACACGTTGCTATGGTACAAATATTTATGAAATTACAAAAAAATAAATAGGGCAGATTAGCAGGTAGCAAAGGTACCCAAAAATGAAATTTCAAAACTGGTCAGGAAACTAGTCAGTTTTAACTACAATTTAGTGTCTGAAAAGCATCAGTCTTATGGCAATCGTTTGTAAAGTTATTTAATAAGGTGAGGTTACAACAGCGATTTTTTTTTTAATAAAAACTTAGTGGATCTGAAAAAGTTCAAAAATGTTGCTGCAAATACATATAAATGAAACTAGAATCAAATATAAATATATAATTAAAATAACTCATGTTTAGTGAAAAACTTTTTGAATATTTGAATAGTTTAGATACCCTACTTTTTTATTATTTGCTATAGCTTAGTAATATTTTTTTTCAAAAAAATCGCGGTCTATTATCACCAATCTTTTGATATTTTTAAATAAAACAAATATTTTAATATATCTTTCGAATAGCCCATTAAACTGATTTTCCTTAGAATTCGAATTTCCTTTTTTTCATAAATATGAAATATAATAATATATTTTTTATTTAAATATGTAGGTCACGTTGATATCAAAAGCCAATATGATCTGCATTGCTTAAATATTTAGTTCGAAAGATCAATCAGCATACAAAAGATACCTTCCTTAAATACGAGTAAACTTATACGCCATTTTATAGCTTGCTCACTGACTTAGTGACCCATTGTCTTCGTGATTGTTACTTGCCAACAATGGCACATGTCTCTTTACTTTTTTTAAATTTATTTGCGCTAAAAGTGTTCGCAAATCGTTTTTTCTTTGTTTCTATCGTGGACATTATAAGGTGGATTGCGATCATGGTATTTTTTACGTCATTTTAGGCAAATGTGACAAGATCGTGTTCGATTTCTTTCATCTACTCAAAAATTCGACCAAATTCAAACACATTATACGAGGAAATTGTACACTTTTACTCTATCAGGTTGGATTGTACAATTATATAAGATATCTTTAACTTAATGAGAAATTGTCGATATGTAGATAGTATTATAGGTGAATTTTAATAAAACATATACTATTTTCATATATAGTATCGACAAAATCTGCTAAGGTTAATTGGTTTCACCAAAACGTGACGAACTAAAAGTAGAAGTTCTGAGAGGATTTTATCTTGGAAACAGCTCAGGCGTCCAACAGTATAAGTCACAGCAAATGACAGCGGTAATCCGATCCGTTTCATAGATGATTATATTGCGTGAAAATTCACTTCCCTGCAAGCTCATTAACAAATCCAACAAATATACAACCCTTACCAAAAAGTGGCTTTATAGCACCAAATAAATATTGAGTTTGCCACGAAATTTGTAAAACGTAGAAGGAAAGTCATTGGAGACCCTATAAAGTATATATATAAAGTACCAGCGTGTCCAGCTGAGTCGATTTAGCCATTTTTCATGTTTTTGAGTTGTCCATCAGAAATTTCACATGCCCTTTTCTCACCAAAGAGCTGCTTATTTGTCGACATCGCCAATATCCGACCACTAAAGCGTACAGCTGCCATACAAACTGATCGAACCAAATCAAGTCCTTGCATGGAAAAGTTTTTTGTATGACCAGATATCTTCACGAAATTCGACATACATTATGGTCGAAGGCAACACTAAAATGGAATGTCCAGATAGGACCACTATAGCATATAGTTGCCATACGAACTGATCGCTCAAAATCAAGATAAAGATCTTTATAAAATATATTTTTTCCTAATAAAGTTACATTAATTCGCTTTGAAGGTTAATGAAGGAAGTAATATACAACAAATCGCTTCAGAAGTCCAAAAGTTCAAAGAATTTCAAGTCTTCCCACGTTTTTCTTTATACTTGTATTTATTTTGTTATATTTGCTTAATTTAATTTCAAAATTTCTTTTAATTTCTTACAGATAACGCAATCTCAGCAATTTAAGACTAATAAATCATTAGTTTCGTGGATTTCAGACAAAAAGTATCCGCCTTTGCGACGGCAACATACACGCCCCGCGGAACTATAAAGATCTAAACACCATAGAAATTCAAAGCTGCACAATGACGACAAAACCAGCAACAGTAACGCTGGGCATTAGTGGCCGTCTGGGTGGTAAAACCAATACTAACAGCAACCATAACAACACTGCCTCATTTACCGCACGCCCCGCACACATCACACAAGCATCGCCCACAGTGGCGAAACGTGGACACATCCGGTCCGCATCGCTGGAGAACGGTCACTCCTTCACAGCCAAGAACACACTCGGTTTGCCTGTGGCAACAGCACGTGAACAGCAGCAACAACAGCCACAGCAGCAGCCAACAATAATGAGTCATACCGGCACGCTGAAGTCGCGCAATGAGCAAAAACGCATGCGCGGACAGAAATTCGGCAGTCACAGCAGTTTGGATCAGGATGCGTTGCCCAGTGCAGGGCGAACCAAATTTCAGAATATACGCCAAATATTTGAAATAACCAAAAAGCGAACTTTCGGCGGCAGCAGCGGCGTAAGTGGTGGCGGAACTGCAACAACCGAAGAGGCAGATAAAATGTCTGCCAGCAGCAGCAGTGTCAGCAACAGTCAAACGCAGCCCAGCGATCTTGATAATCAACGTTTGAACACACAACCGCCTGCTGCAGCAGCAACAACAACAGCACACGGCGCCACCCCCGGCGCCGCACCTGCACTAATGTCGACCTCCATGCCGAGCCTACAGCTGCGCCAACACACCCAGGCATCTTATCAGCAACATCAGCAATTGGTGCGTAAGCCCACACCAACGCTGACGCTGATGGGCGCCAACGGAAGCGGAAATCGCAGCAGTTACTCGGAAATGAGCGATCGGCTGAGTATAGCGGAGAGTGTTGGCGGCGGCAGCGGCAGCTGTATGTCTGGCAATTTCAATAATATGGCTGGCAATGCGCTAGATGCTAAACAGAAATTGCGCTTGCAACAACAATTACAACAGCAGCAACAGCTGGTGCAACAACAACAGCAGCAGCTACAGCAACAGCACCTGCAGGCGCAGCGGCAACACTCACAGCCGGCAATGGGTCAGTTGGCGCACCTACATCAACATCAACAACAACAGCAACAAATGCAGCAGCAACTGCAAAAGCAACAGCATCCACAGCAACAACAACTGCAACAGCAACAACAACTGCAACTGCAACAGCAACAACGCAGTTCCGGCGGCATATCACACTTGCAACACCTTTCAACAGCAACAGCAGGCCAAATGGCAATAACAACAACAACAACAATGAATGGCAGTATCAGCGCAGGAGAAACCAGTGAACAGGTTTGTAACAAGATTTCACACCTATTAGTACACACACACACACATACACACACACACACATATTCATACATACATACATACATACCGAACATCGGCGAACTCAAATTTCGCTACACGCGCGTTGTGCGCTTGGTGCCAACAAATCTTGGGTGTGTCAGTGTCACTAAACAACTGCAACAACAACAACAGCAACAACTACAATCGCTTGCATTTGGTACAGCAACAGCATTAGCCGCCGCAACCACTAAAACAGCCGGCTCGGCTCATTCATGGCCGTTCCCAGTGGCACCGTTCGGCAAACGTAGATTGTTGTGTCTGTCAGTCGGTCGCTGGGTCGAGTTTGCTTTCAATTATTTTATTCCACTTCATTTATCTACATTTATAGCTTTTGCTTAGTCATTCAGTTTTCCGCGAACTGCAAATACCTTTTGCATTTACTTTTTCTCCTTCTCTTCTCTTTTTCTATCGCAGTCAAAAACATCAGCAGCGCTTGTAACAACAACAGCTACACCGGCCGCAACAGCAGTAGCAGCAACAACAATGGCAACACCAGCGATGTCTGTGATGACGTCGTATGAGAATCTTTTGCGTCCCATCGCCTTCAAGCCAATCCCCTTCGAGCCGGACTACAGCTTACAGCACGGTCGTTATGTTGCCGGCGATGCGACTGCAGCAACGACCGCAGCGGCGACGACTAATGTGGCGACAGCAGTTGTGGGCGATCGTTATGGCTCTACGCCATCACTGACAGCGACTCAGGGTTCGAGCAATATGCGTTTTGGCAGTAAGTAATTAATGATGCGAGGAAACTATTGATTTGGTGATGGGTTCGGTTCGTTAGGTGCGCTTATGTTTGCGCCTACTGCTTTGTGTTTGATTTGTAACGAAGTGTGATTGTGTTTGATTGCATTTTGCTTTGTCCCAAATAATATGGGTACAATCGCAATTTTTTGGTTGTTGTTTGACCATTTCTCGATATAAACCATCAGATGCTGCAGTTAATCTGTAGATAGCTTATTGATGTAATGATGGTGACACCTTGTACTCAATATCTTCTTGATAATCATGCTTGTTTTAGATTTAGACAATTTTCTGACTGCTGTTTTGAATAGACTTCGACTTTATATCAGAAAAAAAGGAATACCTATGACAGCCTTGAAAGTTTGAACAACAGATTGCAACTGGCATTAATAGAATAAAAATTATTTGCATGGAAATATAAATTCCCTTCAGGAATTTGGTGTAATTATATCTAATCATATTTCCGTTTTTAAATAAAATGAAAACAGTTTTGCTTGATAAGTATTAGTGTGAAGATATCTTTACCAAAAAATTCATATATCTACAACAATGTCGTTGAAATAATCTCAGTGATAAACAAATTGAATAAAATAAATTGAAAAACTAATTCTTATTACAAAATTTTTGAACAAAACAATCTGTAACCCTGGTGATTCACTAAAATTTTTCAAAGGAGTCTAACTATTTTTATTCCTTGATATCAATTTTCTCACGAATACGAGTATATACCATATGTATTTCAAGTAATATACCAGATAGGCTGCAAAGTTCGTAACGTTTTAAATAAAATTACATTTTCTTGCAAAATTACATTTTCATATTTAACATATATACTTGTATACATACATATGTAAATATTTAACCAACGTTCACAGAGTAACATTTCGGCGATACCATTTTTGAAGTATGATTTGCCTTTTGTTCCAAAGAAGAACTCCCGCTCGATTACTAAATCTAGAGAATATGGTGGATGCAAAAGCTATTCTAAGTCCAATTTATGCAATTTTTACTGATTTTTGAGCGTCCCACTATATAGACACTAGAAGACTGTTGCATTTTTAGTTGCTTCGGGACCAGTTTACCGGATAACGTTCTAATTGACTACGTAGCGAATTTATGGTGTCATATTTCATACTGTGACACATTGTCACATATCAATACAAAAACTTAGACTTATTACAATCATCATATATTTGTATATTCATGAAAGATATGTCCAATAGGTTCTTTGGATATCTTAAGATAATGTCAGCTTTTTCCGTTAGCTTCAACGGTCATCCAATATAATTTTGTGAAATTTTTTGAAGACCTGTAAGAAATTAAGCAATTCACTGGAGAATTTTTGCTTGAATCCTGATAAAACTCATTGAGCCACTTTTCTGTAACAGCAGAAATTTTTCAAAATTGTATTCATATTTTTTTTTTTGTTTTTCAAAAAGCTTTAACTTTTTTAAAAATGCTATATCTCATGAAATAATTGTCCGATTAGTCGGAAATGTATGAAGCTGCCTTTGAAGGTTAAGCCTAATGATGGTAATATTTCAGTTCGCTGAGGACACAATAAATGTAGAATTTTATTCATCAAAACCTTTAGGGCATTTTGTCCGCCAACAAAGACAAAAAAAACCTAAAAAACTGAATGAAATAGAAGATTGCATACACATTCTAAATTTGCTTTTAGTTCTTTTAAAAGTCAATATATTTTTCCCCTAAATATAGTTTAAAAAAACAAACGATTTTTCGCCACCATAAAGTTTACCTATAAAACATTTTGAGGTTAGGTTTTTGAGGTGGATACTTACGTTTCAATATAAACCTTTCACGCCAATTTTTTAGTAGACTACCTATATGTTATAAACAGGTCTTACATCGGGTTTTCCACTAGGGATGGTAAGATTTCTAAGTGTCGTTTCGGTCAATCAGTATTGTTTAAAATTTCTTCATGGAAAGATATACACAAGAACAACGTTTACAAATTATTCAATTTTATTATCAAAATAATTGTTCTCCATCGTTATGGTTATGGTGAATGGTGCGGTAAATAAACAAATTCTAGTGTTGTTGATTCTAGTGCGAAGAAAATCCACAAATTATTCACGAATGTAACCTAAATAGACAGTTTGGTGTGGTTTTTGGTCTAATGGAACTATCGGTCCGTACTTCCTTCGAAATGAAGCGAAGTACAAGTATACGAGTAGAACGATGATAATCAACTTTTTATGGTCGCAATTGAAAGAAGTTGATCTTGACAACATCTGCTTCCAACAAGATGGGGTGCAACAACCGAATTATTGCGAGAAAAGTTTGTAGATTCGATAATTTCAAGAAATTGTGACATTGTATGGCCTCCAAGTAGTTGTGATTTAAGACCATTAGACTACTTCTTGTGGAATTATTTAAAGCCATTGATCTTTAGCAATAAACCAGACTCCCTTCAAGCTGTAGAAGCCAATATTGAACGTGCGTTCATGACATAGGACTTGATTTAGTAACAAAAGTGCTCGAAAATTGGGTTTAGCGAATTTGTTCCTGCAAGAGAAGTCGTGGAGCCCATTTGAAATACTTATGTTGATTTAGAGCTTAATTGTATCGATTGTACTTCACAGCAAATACAAAACATTGAATTTACTTAACAATTGGTGTGTTTTTTTTAATCATATCACTCTTATTGTTAAACGCTGTATTAATACCATAGTTATTACTTGCATATAATTTTTAAAAATTTTTTGAGAGTATATTCGAGAAGGATAAGTACCCTAAAATTCTCTTATACAAACAAGTCATAGTCATTTATCATATTTTCCTTGATTGACGTTTGAAAAGGTTTGATTTGAAAAATTGAAGATCTTTGCCAAATGAGATACAGTCTTTCAAACAAGGTACAGATCCGCTCTGCGGTGCTTGATTAACTTAAGTATGATTTCCAAAATATTCTAACCAAAACAAGTTTATACTATGTCCATTCCGTGTATGGTAAATCACTTTCGGTCAGCGAGGTGCGAGGTGTATTAAGCTTCGGGCGTGAATCAGTGAGTCTTCCTTCTTCTTGGTTTATATGTAATTAACAATATTGCAGCTAGCAAATTGCATTGAAAAAAGCGCGGGGTGTATAAGGAAGCATTTTTAATTACTAACAGCTATTCGAGTAATGTTTCGAAAGACTCCAAAACAAACATGAAAATTCGGCAAATGCGCTAAACATTTCGAAATAATTATTGCAATACTTTATTAATGATTACATACTTACACGTAAACTTAAGCTTAGACTTATAACTTGTTGTTTAAATGGCAGCGGTTTTAAAAGCTTTGTCTTCTTCTTTTTTGTGTCTTTACAGGCACGTCTGATTTGCGGCATGGCGGCACCGGCGGTGGCAGTGGTGTTGGTGTTGCTAGTGGCATTAATGGAGTCGGTGCTGGCGGTGGTGTGCTCGGAGGCATGGCCGTTGGCGCTTATTCAAGCAATAATTATTGCAACAGTCTTATGGCGCGACGTCGTGGTTCCAGATCGTTAAAAATCAACGATAGCATGGAATCGATTCGGCATACACCGGATTCGGATGCGAATAGTCAAAGTAGCACAATGTAAGCCAAGGAAATTAATTGAAATAGAAATCGCTAAAGCGCTAATAGAAACTTTTATATGCACTTAACTCATTTTAATGGCATTCACAGCAAATCGACTGGCAGCAGCGCACACAACAACAACAACAACGCCAACAACAATCACAGCAATGGTCTGCAGCAAAGCGCTATGCTCGGCGGCACAAACAACTTCGGTTTCATTGGCGTGGGCAGCACAGCCGGCAGTGGCAACTCGAGTGGCAGCAATAGTTGTGGTGGCAGCGCCGGCAATGGCAGTGGCAAGTATCTGCTGAGCGAACAGTGCGATATGACGCCTTCACCGTCCGACTCGGGTATATCAGATTTGGAAGCGGCGCTTAAGGATCGTGATTCGGAGCTCTCCTATTTACGTCAAACAATGGAGCACAATGAGAAAGTAATATTCCGAATACAAAAGGTTTCAATTTACACACATATATACACGCACTGATATAAAAGCGCAGTTGATGCTAACTAAAATGTGTTTCTTTTTTCTTTGTTTCTTTGTTTTTGCTCTGTTTTTAGGACAAAGAGAACTTTTGGGAGCAGGAGACAAAGCGTCTGAAGACATTCTATGAGGCTCAGCAGCGTGAATATTTATTGAAAATGAAGAAAATGGAGCAAATGCTGGCCATGCAACAGTTCCAATTCAAACAGCACAAGCTGCGGCATACGGAACAATCGAATAAGCTGCGCGAGCAGGTGGCTGATTTAAAGAATGAAAATGAAATACTGAGGTGAGTAACGGGCTATTTATACCTTGAACAGGGTATTTTAAGTTTGTCGTGAAGTTTGTAACATCCAGAAGGAAGCATCGGAGATCCAGAATATAATTTCACAATCACACAAACTGAACGAACGGAATCAAGTGTTTGTATAGAAAACTTTTATTTTGACGAGATATCTTCCAAAAATTTGGTGTAGGTGATAGCACAAGGCAATAAACTGTTGTGATCGTACTAACTGACCGGTCACAATCAAGTTCTTTAAGGAATCTTTGGTATTTGTGAAGGGTATAGTAGCAACCGAAGTTAACGTTTTTCCTTGCTTTTATATATTTTCGCTATGTGTCTCTTACTCGAACAGAAAGTGTTTTCAATGGCATTAAGCCAAACTGCTCCTCCAATTATTATATGACTTTTACGACCTATAGTGTAGACCTTATCGCGTTCTGGAAACTTTGATATCAGTATCGAGACTAAAATAACTAATTCTCGTTCGGTCTTATTTTTGAATGATGTAACGTCTCCAAACCCGTGCTTTTTTTTTTGTTTTTTTTTTGGAGAACGTTGTATATACTTCCAGTCACACGATCTAAAATAGTCTTGAGAGAGCTCAAACCGCAAATTTTCTATATTACCTATATCCATATAGGTAAATCGATGTTGGATCAGCCTATTTAACTTCTAGTGTTTCTTGTGACATATAAATTGTAGTCCTCCTTCAAAAACTTGTTTAAAATTATCGACGAAGCTACGAAAATCTTAGAATAATTGTATTTAAACAACCGTTATTTAAATGACTGCGATTGGGTTTTTGTGCAATTTTTAGCTTCTGGACAATCGAAACAATGCTTACATAAAAGTCGAACTCGTCGATTTACATTTTTTTTTATCGCTATTTTAGACATTTTTGACATTAAAATCACCTGAACGGTATCGACGAAACCAAAATTTGTCTCTTACTGTAATAAAACCATAAAAACTGTTTACATTTTCAGCCTCCTGGCTTGCGTTTTCATGGATTGGAAAAATCATTTAATCTTTTTAGTAGAGCTAATAAGCGAAACCATAAATATTTTCTGGTTCTGTTGGTCTAGATAAAGTAATGCTCAAGTTACAATATACTACAAAGTTACTAAAAAGGCTTGCTTCCAATTTAGAAATGTCACAAATCTCTGGCTCTATTCAAAACCGTCTCCATAAATTGTAGAAAACCTTCAAAGAAATTCACGCTTATACCAATATCTTTTATTTTGCCAGGAGTAACAATGGCAGCTTGAAGAATTCCGAGCGTAATCTCAAAGACAGCGTCGCTTATATTGAAGAGCAATTGCGTGAATCGGAGAACACAATCGCCGGCATAAAAGCGCAGTTAGAAGAGAGCGAATGGAAAGTTTGCGAGCGCAATGGTGAACTGGCGCTGCTCAAATCGCAGCTCAAGGAAGCGAATGTGAGTAAATTTTCCTCTAAAGTAAACTTTATAAATAAAACATTTTCTCTTATAATGACTAATATATTAAAAATAATTCCCACTTGCTAACAAATAGGTGGAAATCACACTGAAGGAACACGCCATTGTGCATCTGCGACACGAGAACACCAACGCCGAAACGCAGATCTACGAAAGTCTGCAGGAGAATCAGAAAATGACGAAGCAGCAGCAACAAGTCGAGCAACAGCAGGCACGCACCGACAAACAAGCCGAAAGCGAACTGAAGCAGCTCAACAAAATCATCATACTCAAGGATCAGGTGATACTCGCGCTCACCAATGAATTGGCCAAGCTGCGCAAAGAGCTCTCCGATCTGGCGATCTTTCAAGAGTACGGCGAGGAGCCCTCCGGACGCTTCATACGCCTGAAACAACAATTGGACAATCTAACGGACATTTGCAATCGTACGCGTCGGCAAGCGCATAAACCGGAAATCACGGCGGTCAACAGCGCCAAGGAGAAGGTCATCGACGACACCAACCTAGAGTTGATAATGAACTGTCTGAAGATTGCGCCGCCACTCGATGACAACGACGCAAGCGAAAACGAACGCGAACGTGCGCAGAGCAAGCAACGCGCCGAGAAGCGTTTGGCCAAAATGTCCGCTGACATACAGAACTTCGTCTACGGTGCACAAAATCTGCCTGATATTGCGATGAATCATCAACAACATAAACCGCTAAAATACACACATTCCAATTCAAATAAGCTGGAGGAGTCAACGTTGGACACGCTAATCGAAGAGTCGGCGAGCTATGCCGAAGAGATCGCCAAGTTGCGCAAACAGCTGGACGATGTGCGCGTCAATTTCGAGCTGGAGAAGCACCAATGGTGTGAGGAGCGCGAGAAGGTGCTGAACTACCAAAAACAATTGCAAGCGCACTACATCAATATGTATCAGAAATTGCGCAGCTTGGAGGGTTCAAATGAGGTTTAGCCACATAGCGTCGGCTTTAGCTTTTAGAGACACACATTCAGCTAATTTGCTTATTTATATTATATATGTAGTAGAAGCGTAGATAATTTGTTAATTTCTCAAAGTCTATGAATATATAGTTTAATTATTATATTGTTATTGTAATTTTAAAAGTGTCAACTAATATTTCACACATGTATATGAACATATTTAATGAAAAATATTTATTGAAAATGTTATTTGCACCTAAAGAAAAATAACACAAATGCGAGCTATACTATTGTATAATTTATAACAGTACTCCACATATGTGCATACATTTTAAGAGCACACATATCAAATAAACGCTAATTTTCATAAAACACACATTTTGTTTTTATTAAAAATCACCGAAATCCAACGTTTTGCATGTTTCATATGGTTGCTGTTGTTGTTGTTGTAGTCGCAACCCACGATGCGCTAAAATTCCTACTGCAATGCTCCTGCTGCACCAAACGCGCATAAACGTGCAGCAGGTCACGCAGCCAGACTGCACTTTTAACTTCCGTTCACGCAGCGGAGGTGTATGCTTCCAGGCGTTACAATGGCACAGGGCGACACAGAGTGCAAGGCAGTTAATACTAACAGCCGCAAGAGCGCGCTCACAGTGCGCTTGACATACCGCAGAGTGTAGCTACTATTTATTTATTTGATATCCGGGTTGCCATTGCAGCGCACCAATACCAATGCACCACACACGCGCATCCGTAGCAGCCAAACTGTGGCAATTCCTACTGCAATTCTCCTGCTCCACCAGGCGCACATAATCGTGCAGCCAGATTGCACTTTTAACTTCCGCTCGGGCAGCGGAAATGCATGCTTTTAGGCGTTTCTATGGTACAGAGTGGCAGAGAGCGAATATTTCATGCAAATGCTGCTTTTGCAAGGCGCTAATACCCAATTTCACACCATTTGAAATAATTGAACAAATTTTTCGAGATTTCGAATATTTCAAACAATACATTTTTATTGCTAAAATCTAAAAGTAGTTAAATACATATGTAAATATTAATATACGTAAGCTTGCACTAATAATATATATGTAACATAATATGTTTGTTGCAATATAAATGACTTCAAGCACTTTGCCGTTATGTGGCTCAATGTTTTATTGTTTTGTTGTTTTTTGACACCGCTAACGCTCAATTCGCAGCTTTTTTATGCATGAATGTGCTCTAAGTTGTTGGCTGGTTACACATATTTTTTATTGAGCGGGTTCTAGTAAGTTATACACTTTTTCGATTATAAATACATACATAATAAGCAATATATAAGTAAATCAATTTAACAACTTAAGCTGCATTAAAACTAAATGTTAAAATTACTTTTTGAAACAAAAAAAAAAAAGAGGAAATTGAACAGAGTTTATGCATTTTTATAAATTAATGACGAATCAGATTCGCTAGCTCGCCAGAGAAATGGCTCAAATGTTATTATTTCTGTGTATATTATTTTTGCATATCTCGAAAACCATTTTGGCGCGCAAACAACTCCGTGTTGCTTGCCCTCTGCTTTCCTAGTACTAATTTGAGAGTGTCAAGCTAACTTTTATTGATTTTCTCATAACTTTAGAGCTCCAATTTTGAACCCTGTTTGGCAGTCGTAGGGAAGACAAGTTATTGCTTATGATAAGGCGTTTAATACGGAAAACGTTCTCACTGCGTTGCGCGTAACGTCTGCCTTCGTGCATGCTCTGATATATACATACATATACTTGTCCGCTGAGTACGCTTAGACCACACACTTGCAACCGCACATTTTGCTTTACACCTACTTGTAATAATAACTCCTAAACTACACTCTTCAAGCGAATTCCTCCACATAAGTCGCCGGGAAGATGCCCACGTGATTGCCTAAGGCGCCCAGCCACCAGCCATCCTCCTGCTTGGCGTGCACCTCGATAATATCGCCCGGCGTCAACTCCAGCTCGTCATACAATTTCGGTGTATAACTGTATAAGGCTTTGCAACGACTCAGTATAATGGGTGCGCCGCCATTCGCATTCGCATTGCCGTTCATATTGCTCTGTCCGTTATGTAGCTCTGCCGCATTTTGGTAGATTGTAGGCGTCGTCGCCGCACCATTAGACATGGCCGTGGCTGTGCCGTTCGCCAACATTGTGCTCTTCTCGATAATCGCTTTGTGTTCTTTGCGTCCCGAACTGTTTGTGGTGGTCGTTTGCTCATCGTCATCATCCTGCGAGCTGAATTCATCGAAATCCGAATCCTGTTGATTCGAACCGCCATCGGCCTGGCCACGATCACTGTACGGATCATTGTCGATATTCGCTGGTATTGTCTTTGTCTTATCAATGCTGGTAATGCAAAGCTGTGTCTTGTTGCTTAGCGTTTCAATGTTGCTCTTGCTGCGACTGAATTTACGCACGAGTATATCCTTGCTGAGATCGGTACAGCTGGCATTGGATATATTTGACGTTTGGTTTACGCATTCGTATTCGTTTTCTTGCACCGACGCGTTGTCGTCTTGACTCATGCGATCGTTGTTCTTAAGCCAGAGCGGCACTTTGAGTACGCTCTGTTGTAGGCCGGTGCGATCGCGTGTAACCTGTTAGAACGGAAGTTGACTGGTTGTAATTAAGTTGGAAAATTTATATTGGTATGTCTAAATACCTGTATATGTTGTGCCAGTGGATGTGACGATCTCGGCTTGTGATCCAATTCCAATAGTGCTGAGTGCAATTTGAAGCGTGCACCCTCCAAATAGGTCAGCATCGAGCGTATCTGTAAAGATTGAAATAAAATGGAGGTTTTTTAATAATCTCGACACTTGCAATTTCCTTTAATAACAGGCGTGTGACATATTTCCAGATGTCTTTAAAAGCTTTTGGTAAAAAATATTACCAAATAAAAATATTCGTTACAGGCGGAGATCGTCAAATAATTGAGCTAATTCATTAGATTTTGGCTAATATATATTTAGTATAAAGTCAATTCGAAATCATTATATTGGGTCTGACCTAATTTCTTCCATTTCTAGCACAATTCTTGATCATATTATTTTCCGGGAAATACGAATGTTTAATTTTGTTAGGAAAATTTTCTCAAATTAACCGATATCTTAGTTAGAAAAACATTACGAACGACTAAATATTCGATACGTCAGCACAAATCAAAATGACCAAACTTAAATTATTGTATGGAAAACCTTTTTATTTGCTAAGGCATCTTCACCAAATTCAACATAGCTTATTGTCCAAGAATATATTGTCGAAAAGAATACAGATCAGTTAGTCTAATCTTATTTTTTTTAAAGAAACTCGAAAAGATTCTAGATGCCTACATTAGAGATACGCTTTAATTCGGCTAACGTATCGAAAGCAATGCCTATACTGCGACCGCATTTCAGTCACCTTAAACCTTAAATAGAAGAATATTCATGGAAACTAAATAGTCAATGGAATTGTAAAAAGTGTCTCTCACTTGGCTTCCGAACCAGTACAGGAAATACGCAAGTCGTTAAAAACAATACAAATTAAATTTCCGAAAGGGTTGACAACGGATCAAAGTGAGATGTAATGCCTTAAGGACATGAAAGATCGTCAAGATCAAGTGAAAAGGAACTCACACTTCGCATTATTAACGATGGCACATGTAGAAAGTGCAGGTAAGTAGGCATGAGGGAGACGCTGGAACGCCTCTGCTTCTATGAGAGTTGCCACATAGAAGAGGAATTATTTGTGATAAATTTTGATCACGCATTAGCAATTGGATTCTTTGTAGTAGCGTGGAAGATCCTCGTAAGATTCAAGTCGATTTTAGTAGTTTCTCATTGTTCCAAAGACAGTCGGATCTACGAACATTCCGAATTTAAATCCAGCCAAAGACTGTCAAACCGGCGGCATGTCTCATAAAAGAAGAAAAAAGACTTGTATCTAACGATAACCCAACGTATAGAAAAATACTAGATGGACCTATCATTTCATCTATACTATTCTTAGAGAGTGACTAGGGGCGTGCGTTCCTAATACTACTAACCAATTTTAGCCAAATTTAGTGAGCATTTTAAACTTTGGCTGTTGGCTCTTATAAATTTTTAGGAATTTTGTTCAGAGATTTCAAAAGATAAACTTTAAGCTCTGCCCCATAAAATTTTTCGAGTAAGCTAATCAACAGAAAATGTATGTCAACTTACGTGATACAACTTGTCGGTGATATTTTGATTCTCTTGGTTGTTCAACGACTGGGAAAGACCCTTTAGTCCATTACGTGAGCGTCGCTCACGCTCTAAGTCCGCCTTGACCAACTGCAGCAGCTTGATAAGGGCATGCTTGCGTCGCTCCCGATTCATAGCCAATGTGGTGTGTTCACAATAGAAATCAGGCAACAATTGTTCGCTGGGACCCTCAGAATTACGACGTATATTCTTAACTACTTGCATATCTTTCAACACATTGCAGGCCTCGACTTGGGGCTGCAAACGTTGCATTAAACCATCCAATATGGGATTCATATTGGATGTGAGACGCGAATAATTTGCAATGAAATTTTTCATATTGACCAAACGCTGGTTTTCGATATTCTGCAGCAAAGAGGAGCCGCGCAACACTGCCATCTCCCAATCGACACGAGCGCGTTCGGCGCGTATGCAGAGCGTATAGTATTCGACGTCAGCGCGTTTGACAGCCTCCTCGGCCTTCTTACGTTTGCTATCCAATTTAGCGCAATCTTTCTCAGCTGATCTGATTTCCTTTTCGGCAGCAAGCTTATTAGGGCCTTGATGTAGCAGAGCAATGGATGGCGATTTCTGTATTCGTACGTCCAGTAAGGCATCCTGTAGTTTTTCATTTTCGCGAGCAGCTGTGTGTGACGATTTTTTGGCCTTCGACTCGCTGACACGCCACTCGGCTAGCGTGCGCGCGGCCTTGTCCACGTTGCTCTCAACCTATTTCGGTGAAAAATGGCGAGAGAGAGAGAGGTGGGTTAGCATAACGTTGTTGTTACGAAAACTTTTTCATTAGTGTTACTCACCGACTTTCTGGTTTTGTGATGTGCATCGACTATATTCTTGAGTGGTTTGACAATTTCATCTGTAAGCGAAGCCGACAGCTGGCGATGAATATCGCTGCGATTCTCCATTTCGGTAGCAACACCACGCCAAGCATCGGCTATGCTGCCGGGCAGTTCACGACAAGCTTTGTTCAATTTGTTGGCCATTTTCGAGAGAGATTTCGAGTATAATGTCTCAGACTCAACTCTGTGAGAGCAAAATTTATATTATTTTCTGTTGAGTAATAAAGCAAGAATATCTTACCTTTCTTGTAGTATCATTACCAGCTCCTTTCCGAAGTCACCACCTTGTTTCACGTAGCGTCGCAATTCTTCGAAGCCATTTTGGCCCTGAAAATATGCAGGAAGCAACAACAAATTTAAATATATGCAAATATTGAGAATGAATATAATTGTTGTATGCATAAAACCACTTGGAAACCACAATCAAAGCCCTCTGGAAAAGATTAAAGTCTTAAGCCCTAAAAATGGTTAATAATAATCCTCAAAACCACACAAATATTAATCTTAAGTTTCTGTAAACCAAGCGTTTGAATCTTACCAATAGGTTTTGCCTCTTTAAAAACCACTTACAAGCTCTTAACCTCAGCACTCTACTTACCTCCAATAACTTCGCGACTGTTGGTGTTTCATCAGCTGGTCGTTGCGTAAACGATGACTCCAAATCCTCCTCATTTTCAACATTAGCACCACCGCTAACATCTCCAGCACCACTACCATCCACCAAATCATCAGTACTCACGCCAAAGGCAGACGTTGGACTGGTTACTGTGCTGACCGTGGCACCATGTGACTGCTGCAGATTGATACTAACGACACTCGTGTCACTGTCGCGCAGCACCGGCATACCCACCCGACTATCACCACCACGCAATAACACACTACCGTGCACCGATGGCGATTGACGACACTCAGAATTGTTGAGACTGAGCTTAGAGGTGGCGACGCGTTGTAAATTCGCCTGCTTCTGCACCACTTCCTTCAACTTTGTGCTCTCCTCGCCAATCCAGTTCTTAACGCCATGCCAACCTTTCTTAAGCTTTTCTTTATTATTATTGAAACTGATAAGACGCGAGTTTTTATTCTTCAAGAGCGTAATGCGGCGTTCGCTGGGCTTGAGGTTGTCACGGTGTAGGCAATATTCCAAATCGATATCATCATTGAACTCCTCGGACTCGTTAATTTGGCGCGTGATCTCGTTGAGTTCATCAATGGAGACAAACAGATTTTGCGCATTCAGACTTTGACAGCTCACCGACTTCAAATCGAACTCTTCAATGGTGCTGGCGTGACTCGTCAGACTGTTTTTCGAGCCATGCTGATTGATCGAAGCGTTGCTGGAGAAGACAACACTGCGACGTTTGCCATTCGTGTGACGCATATCTAACGAATCAACGCTCTTGAAGTGCAGCTGTTGCGAGAGATAGCCACATACCTTTTGCTCAGCGCACATTGGCGTATTCGGATCACTTTTGCATTGTGGCGGTGACAACTCCAAAGACGGAGATGAGTTTTCTTTATCAGCCTCATTGCCCTCATAATCACTAGGCGCAAGGCTACACTTGCTAACGCCAAAGAGCTCCGGCAAACGTGGTAAGTCACGACAGTTTTCAAGATCTGCTGTAGTCAAACTCATATCCAAAGTCATGGATGGCGTTTTCTCGAGAAAGATCTTCATCTCGGCGCGGTGTAGGTTCTGCGCTGATTTCGAGTGTTGGCGACGACGTAATTTGGGTGGTGGCGTCGGTATGCGCGGTTTAGGTGACGACAACACCTTTTCAACGGCTGCCACAGCCAGAGTGCACTGTTCCACACTGCTTGCAGGCGATTCGACCGATGTGGATGATACATTTTGCGTGTTCATCTCTGGCACAGGAAATATAGGTAATTTCAATAACAAACGCGCATTGAGATCAGCATCTGGATCTACAGGCTCGATTGTGAGCTTTGGTGTTCCGGCCGATGCCAGTTCGTAATGTTCCTCCTCCTCAACACCAGCCGATTCAGCTGGTTCATCAACGACTGGCGGTGTACTTAAGGCATCGGCATACACTTCCGTCTCGCTGCCTGACGACGGCATTTGCGGCGAAGAGTGTATATTGATTGTACGCACCATGGTGCTGGTCGCCGCTATGCCACCACCAATCTGTCGCAGACGCTCCTCACTCACATCAAAACGATCCGCATCCAGTGTCGTTGTCGATATCAGCACTGGTGCACCGATTTCCAAACGATGATCATCCGAATGCGCGCCGGTCATATCGTAACTGCCTGAGGCCACTTTCTGTGGCGAACTGCCTTTGCGGCCGGCATGATGTCGCCGTGTAATGCGATGGCTCAGCGTCGAGTAACGCTTCGTTAGTTTGTTCAGCAGACTGCTCGTTGGCAGTAAACCGCTCACATTGTTGTTACTGGCACTATTGTTATTCTCATTGTTGGTGTTGTTATTGTTATTGCTATTTTCCGCATTTACTTTGAATTTTTGCGTGCGTAAACGATTCATTTTGCTCAACTCTTAACTAAGTACTACGCTGTTGCTGCTGCTCCTAATACACATTAATACCCGTGCGCGGATTAAAATGTCCACTTTGGTCGTGTTGTTGTCGCCGGAAGGGTTGCACGCATTAACCTTAGGAATTGACGTTTGTCATAAATATAATTGTATGTTTTTGTTTTTTGAATTTTGTTTTTGTTATTTTTCAAAATGAACAATGTGCAGAAAGTTTGTAGTCGAAGGCAAAGTATTTGTAGACTGTGCTGCCATTGAAACTCTGACTTTTGTGTTTACGAAAGTACTTAGTGAAAATTAATTACTTAAGTAAGTTAAATAAAAAATGTAACTTAGTAATTGATAACAGCAAAATGCTAGCAAATCAAATTTTGGGTTTTAATCCCTTTCGTTATTGATGTAACTAATGTAAGCTAAGCAATTGGTTCTTGTTTTTTTACGATATGAGGTCTTTTCGTTATCTATAGGAGAACTCTATCAAAAATGCAAGCGTACGGTTTTGGTTAAATAATAAGTTACATTTTAGATTGAAACTCTTGTTATATTTTAATTTGTTTAAGGCTTTTGGTCTAGATACTCGTGTGTTTTACTACTCAAATGATAAAGCTATAAATATTATACTAGGTGTAATTACTGTACAATACATCACCTAGCAAAGTAACGAAAAGAGAATGCATATATATGGTTTATCCGATATTATCCTTAGATAGTCTCCTTAGAACATCTCCTGCCTTTCGGTTGCTACTATGTCTTGAGGCGACACTTTTTTATTGATTGCGCTACAAAAGCCGCATCATTAGTTAAGAAATAATTGTAAAATAGTATTTCAGAGAAAAAAAATTTTTTTAAATAATTTGAACTAAATTTATAAGCTCCTACTCTAACGCACAACGGTTGGAATTGGAAGAAGATATTTCGCTCGAGTTCCTTTGCTGTTCATAATTTTTATATTGTGATTAAAGACTCTACAAAGGCTTCGAAGGATTAAACTTATTGTTTTCGCCAATATTTAATATGGAAAATCTATGGTAATTTCAGTTTTTCAAATGTTATAAAAAACTGTATATATATGTAACTTATTTAAATAGATATTCATATAAACATGTTGCAACTAAACTTTAAGTCATGAAGTATCGTTCTTTAAGTCCCCTATATGTTAGTTTTGCTAGTAAGGGTTTGGTCAGCCAAACTGCGAGCCCTTTTATGCATCAAAAAAGCTATAGGTATGTAATATGAAAATCCTAATCCGTCAGGTAAAAATATTTTTATACATATCTATATATATATCACATATATATATATATATATCACAAACTACAACCTTTCTTAAATTAAACGTGGCAACTCTATACGCCTTGATAATTCGTATTTTTTACTTAATTATATTACCGTGTAACCCTCATCGTGGAAAACCAAAGATTTCGCTACACCCCTAAGAATATTGACTAAATACTCGTAATATAACCTTAGACAGCTATAGGAAGTATTTTTGCATAATGAGAATTTCCAACTATGTTTTTCTAAATCCAAGCAATAACAATATAATAAAATAATAATAAAAAAAAACTACAGCAACGTCAACGGTGTCAAAAACTAAATAATATATTGGAGAAAAGGCAGAATTGGTGAAACGAAAAGTCATCGAAATTTAATAAATATACATGCAGCATCCAATAACCAATGTCTCTCAATCAAAGCCTTCAATAGTATATATTTACATAAGTATACTGGTAAGTGTACAACGAATTTGCTTGAAACTTTGAAACGGCTACGGAATTATTGAAAATGGTGCAGTTTTGAGGAGTGCATTTTATCGCGAACACAAGTTGGAATCGACGCAATACAAATTGTGGTTAATGTTTTGGGTATAAAGCTAAACTCGTCCAAAAAAAAAACGACTGAATCTTTTGCAACGACGACGTCAAGAAATGCTTGTCAACGTAGCTGACGACCCTATCTTCAACATACACCAAACGCATCATTACTGATGACAAGACGTGGGTGGAAGAATAAGAAGTCGGAACTGTCCATCAGTCTCGCGAATGACGCTGCAAATATAATCCGAAACCGAAATATCCAAAATTCGCTGAAGACTCGGAGAGCCAGCCCAGCTGAGGCTTATAACAAGTGTATAAAATTGCCTCAGGAGCCCATTTTGGGTTAAGATACATGAAAATTTAACTTTTTTAATCGTAGGAGTGTTTCTAGATTCTAACGAATAACCAATCATTGCAAGCGCCTGTGCATATGTATAAATGTATTACAAAATACATTAGCAACAGCAGAATCTCGCACTAATAAAAAAAATTATTGCCGCGAATTTAGTACACTTTTTCGATTTTATATCCTCATTAAATTATGAAATTTCAAGAAACTGCGAGGCAGTTACATAAGACGCAGAGGGTTTTATAGGTTATTTGTGGCACTACAATGTATGCGGGAGACTATAGAAAGCTTTTGGCAAACTGTAGACAATTTTGTTTTGTAAATTGGTTCGTGAAATATAACATTTTGGATGACGCAAGTTTTAATATTTTGAAAACTTCAATTCAAACAAAAATTTTAACTCAATTCTGTACAAGTCTTATGAGCACCGAAGACGATGACCTTATTAAATCTATGAATGAGGCTGCAACGGATAAAAAAATATCTACAAAGTGGATTGATAAAAATGTCAAAGGCAAAGAAAGTGCGATATATTTGACAGTAAAATATATAATAGTCTTCTTTTTTTATAATTCCAGCGATTTAGACTAACGGAACAAGGTTCCACCAAGTGAAGCAACCCCATACCATGAGACTGCCGCCACCATATTTTACAGTCTGTCGCACATGATGTCGTTGAAGGTTATCATGTGGACGATGCCAATAGTACTGTTTGCCCTCCGATTGAAAACAATTGATTTTCCGACTAGAGAACCTTTTTTCAGTCTTCCACGGATTACTTTTTATGTTCCTTACAAAACTTTAGACGCGCCCTAATATTTTTATTAGATAGAGCAGGTTTCTGCTGTTAAGCGACAGTTTAATTTATAGCGATTGCAGCCGCCTTCGGTGTTCTAGTATTCGTTTTAGTGAGTCTTCTGATTATTTGTCTAGCATCGGCGTTTGTTAACAATACCCACGTTCGAGGAACCAACTGCATATTTAGTGAAACGAAATGGTACTGAATGAGTTTGTTTTAGATTTGGTAGGGCTATCCTTTCATTCTAGCTACTAAAAAATAGTTAAAATGTTAGAGCCTGAAAGTGCAGAAGTGGCGAACATCCGAACGGTTTTACTCACACATAACTAATAACAAGAAAAAACCCTAACTTGGGTTGCACCGAAACTATAATACCCTTCACATATAAAAAAGATTCCATACAAGATCGTTCAGTATTCCGACAAATGAGCAGCTTCTTGGGGAGAAAAGGAAGTGTGTAAGTTTTCAGGTCGATATCTCAAAACTGAGGCATTAGTTTGCGTATACACCGACAGACAGACAGACAGACGTGGTTAAATCGACTCAGGTCGTCATGCTGATCATTTATGTATGTATGTATATTACTGTTCAGGGTATAATGATGACTATTTTTTTGTGAAAATCGAAAAAACATTAAGTTCGAGGAGATCAATATTTTCAGATTATGTTATAGAACACACATAACAATGCATTAGTGTAAAAAGAGCATAATGAATTTGAAAAAAATCTGCATGCTTATTAGAACTAAAAGCCATGCTTCGTGCAATTTTTGAAATTTTTTATTTTCTGCTAAGACATACCTCGAATTCTTCGTTAGAGCCCGCAAATGCTGCCGCTTTTCACTTTGAGAGAAAAAATTTTTTTAGCATTTCGCGCTTCAAAAAACTAAGCCAAATTCATTTTGTTGGAAACCTTATCGGAAATATGCAAATAATTCTAGCTCTTTCACCTTCCCTTCAGCTGCCGTGACACACTTCTGTAGCATACATGAAATTGTTTGTGTGCGTGTGTATGTGTCAGCGACTGCTCTCAATCACCTACGACCCAGCGCATTCTTCACTCAACAGCCAACTGACCGTCGCTGCTGTCGCTGCCACCGAACACTTGGTGAGCAAATCGCCCTAAAAACTTTAACTAAAATCGTTTATGTTGTTGCTGCCGCTGTTGTTGTTTGCAGCTTATGCAGGTGATTGAAGAAGAACAGACAACAGGTGAATACTTCAATTGTCAATAAGAAGCCAACTGTCAGCAGTGAGAAATTCAAATTTGTTGCATTGTTGTTAGTAGCAGCTATTGTTAAAATTGTTGTTGTTGCTGTTGTTGTGGTTCTTGATATTGTAGTGCTTGCACCGTTTTGGTGGCATTTCAATCTTTTTTGTTGACTGCGGTAATGCATTAGGTCAGTTCTTTGTGGACACAGCGAGCATGACAACAACAACTCAGACTTGGTTTTTGTACTTTAATCTTTTTATGTTTTTTTTTTCTGTTTCTTTGTCTTATTTAAGGCCACTTGCTTTTTCCAAAGATACCGTTATACGCAGTAAGTCCACTTCATTGGTAGCAGTTGGTCAACACTTTTTATTGCCTGTCTTTTCTATTAGTTTTGCGGTCCAAAAAAAAAAGTAAAAAGAGAATTAACATTACTATTGCTTTTGTTATTTTCTGATACCCTGCGGTTTTGTCATGAAGTTTGTAACACCCAGAAGAAAACGTTGGAGGCCCTATAAAGTGTATGTATAAATGATCTGCGTAATGAGCTAAACAGTTTTCGAGATATCGAACTGAAACGTCCTTTTCTCCCAAAAGAGCTGCTCATTTGTCGGAGCCACCGATATCGGATCACTATAGCATATAGCTGCTATGCAAACTGAATGATCGGAATCAAATGCTTTTGTGGAAAGCTTTTTCATTTGAAGTGATATCTTCAAGAATTTCGGGCTGGGCTATTGTCAAAGGCAACAGTGTAATCTCCAAAGTAATTGTTTAGATCAAGTCACTATAGCGTTGCCATACAAACTGACCGATCAAAATCACGTTCTTTTAAGGAGCATATACAAAGTCAAGATTATTATAGCTTCGGTGCAACCGAAGTTAACGCTTTTTCTAGTTTTTATTTGTGAAGGGTATTATAGTTTGGGTCCAGCCGAAGTTAACGGTTTTTCTTGTTTTCTCATTTGTTTTTATCTTTGCTTTAGTGTAGTGTCATTTGTCCATTAATATATTGTAGATATAGTCGCTGAACATGTAGCCAGACGGTTGGATGATTGAAGATTCTTCGATTTATTGCTTTTGTTTTGTTTTGTGGTTTATCTGATTTTTTCTTTTTCTTTTGTTTTCTGCACCATTTGCATATGGGTATTTGACCTGGAAAATTTTCACCCTTTTTTCAATCATTTTCACTCAGTCGTCTAAGCTCTAAGTTGCTCTAAATGCGCATGTTTGTACGTATGTGTGCGTGTACATATATTTATATGTATATCTGCATTCACTTTATTGCCATCAGCCCAAGGTAACGCATTCAATGGTTAGGCTTATCTTATGTATTTAAGTGACAAACACTAAATCACTACCATTAATCCATTAATTTAATTTGTGGAAACCTTATAAATTGATTTCATATATAAATGTGTGTGCATGTTTACCTATTGGCTATTCAATGGAGCATTTCAAATAGTTAAAACAATTAGATTAGTTCTAAATTTGTAAAAAAAAAAAGCAGGTATTCTTCTACTGGCTTTTAAAGTCAATTAAAGGTCCGTTAGTTTAGTTTGGTTAATGGCCTAAAACTCGGCTAATCTGTTTAAGAAACGAAAAAGTTTCACGAAAAATGCTGGTAATAAAAGTTGAATGAAATATTAAACCAGCACGTCTAATTCCATAAAGTCTAAGCCTCGACTGCATAACTGTGCAACTTTTTTATCGAAAAGACGGATTGAGAACCATTATTGTGCCATCCACTTCAGGCAATAAAAATGTGCTTTGACATTAAACTAACTCATGATTTGAGTATATTGTAGTAAATAAAAGAAAATAAAGAAATACTTTTCATCTGAAAGTTTACAATCGATTTTTTTTGTACAGGCAGAAAACATTTTTCCTGAAAGATTTTGAGGAATGTTAACATATTAATAGTCCTTTGTAGGATATAAATATAAACTCGTCCTGGATACCTAAATTCTACAATCGTAGTGATGCCAGAGAATTCTTGAAGAAAGATATTATTATTATTATATATATAATATTCTTAGGAGTCATTACATGCTTTGACAATTTGTACCAGACTTGGTTTAAAAAATAAATTTCATCTGAAAACGACTACAATGAAAAGGAATTTTAAACTAGTCGATTAACAAAACTAACATTTTTTGTCACTTCAACAACGCTATCTGTTTTTAATCTGATTAGCAGCAGGTTAAGAAAAGAAAATAGAATAAACTTTAGTCAAATTAAAACCATTTTCATGATCCTGCCTTTTATAGACAGTGGAGAAAACCGCGTTCAGCTCATAAATTAGTATTTTTATAAAATTATTTAAAGATCTTTTCCAGACTTAAATATTTTAACTACAAATTTACATTGTAAAACATAGAATTTTAAAAAAATTATAGCTAAATAAAAAATCGAAGCACTTCTATATTGAGCTCCCTTTCTGAGTCAAGCATAAATATATTAATAGCGCCATTGACGCTTCGACTTGTCCTCTTTGTCCTCTAACCACATAAGAATATACAATTAGTGCACCACACTGATAACACACTAACCCCA